GTCAAATTATCTGTACATTTATCATGTTATTATTTGTTTTGACATCCATGCAAGAGGGAGGGGCCACATACGGTATTAGGTACCAATTTACTATAAAGAAATACGTATCATAGCTAACAATGTCATGTTTTATGAATATATTTTGTAAAGAGAAAATAATGGGTAACATGCTCTGTTGCTGTTGTTACTGTGTGATGATACTTACGCAATAAATATTAATTCTATAAATTTAAAGGAAAAATCGTTACATAAACAAATCCCATAGTTGACGACTTTAGTTTTATGAGAAATTAGGAATAGAACCAGAATAGAACCGGAAAAGACCTTGAAAAACATCCATGTAATTATAAAACCATGAGAAATACGCAGTTGATGGATGATTTTGCCCATAGCCATAATATTCCATTATGCAAGCTGTGTGCTTGTTCAACTTTGTGTACGTTACTGCGGGCGATTTTAGATGTTTTATTATATTAGGATTAAAATATACCTACTCCAAGTTTCTTGTTTGTTTCACATCGTCCTTAAAACTTTGAACTGATGAGGGTAACATAAAGAGAAAGTTTGCCCATAGACACAACTTACTGTGCTTCTGGTTGAATTATGAAGAAATTTGTTTCTTCGTGAGCGAAAACCCTTTGACTGTAATTTTTTTTAAAGGCATTCTAAACGGGGAGATTGCCAGTTGATTTGTGTGTATCTATATCATTACAATGTTTTCGCTTAAAAATTATATTACAATATATCATATCGTATCGTATCATATATAATTCTCACCTTTTTTGTATTAATTTGTTACATTGAAATATAATTTTGTTTTTACATGCTTTAAGCTTTACTTACAAACCTAATTTCATGTACTTGCCCAACTATGTTGTTTATAAAAGTTTGCTTTTAGTTCCAATTAGTATTAGTAAGAATTATATCATTTATGCCATTAAAGACAGGAATTATATGATGTTCGTAGAAGTCCTTATCTCTTCAGGATTACAGAGGATTACAGAGTGTGCTTTTCAAAGGAGAAACATAGTGTATACATGAGTGAGCTAATATTATATTAGAATGTGTAATAGTGGATTGGATGGTAAACAAATATTGCAAATCCTGCTATCTTAACAGGAACCTTGTCTTACTAAATATCAACAATTTTACTACTAATATGTACGTAGTCTGTTTACTAATGTGTAGCGTAAATAATATTGGAAGCAACTCTATATCGTATGGCCACTTTCTGTCCATTTCTAAGAGCAAAACGTTTACCAAGTGATACACAAAGATTTGCATTACGACGATATTCACGTTTACTTCCATAAGTTTGTCTTGAAATCTAAGTAGCTGATACCATCTGTGTTGCAAAATTTTCCATAAAATAACTGCTTGTATAATTAGAAATGATATCACTGTGATAATCATCATCATCATCATATCAGCTTTTAACTGTCCACCGCTGAACATAAACTTTCTCCTTGAGGGGTTTTGCCAGTAGTTGCCAGACGGACGGGTTGGCAATCGCTAGGCTTTAGAGAGATTTAAAGAGGAACCCTGCTGCCCATCCCTCACCCTTCCTTGGTCATCTCTCAAGACACCTACGGGAAAGGAAGGGGTGGCCTATTCTATGCCGTTAATAAAAATATACCGTTGATGAAAAATAATTTCACCAAATGATAATAGATTAAAAGTAGCAATCATTTGCATGTCTAGTTATATGTTTATTTAGTTTGAAGCTTCCGGAAAGCGCTCTCGTCAGTAGACAAACATTATGGTGGCCATTAGAGTTTTAAAATCGTTATAAAGTCTCAGTTGAATAGCACCCAGTGCTCGGAACTGATGGACTTCCTCCCTATTAGCGAAAGTATCGTTCGCCGCAACCACCAGTCGCGTCTCCGAGACCGCAGCGTCCGGCGTCCGGCGTCCGGAAGTTATCTTAGTTCAGCTTCTCATATTTATTTTGAGTCGGCTAAAAAATGAGGGATTTGCAAAATGGCTCTGTTTTTCGAATGATTAACATAAAATTTATGGATTTTAAATGAAATTTTTAACTAAAGAATATATTAACAATTATAGTATTAAAAAAGATTTTATTAGTGACCCGCCCCGTCTTCACGCAGGTGAATAGATAGGTTTTTATGTTTTTTTTTTAAATTAAAATATAGTCTATGCTATTCGCTGATAATATAGCTTCCTATAGATGATTGAATTTTTAAGTGCTTTTTTTTTTGTTTATTCATTAGAAATTAAAAATAATCAAATGTTTACTTTTTATAATATTAGTTTAGATAATCTACTTCAATAAATAAGATAATCCAGATTCGATTATATTTTCATAAATAAATTTGTCTTTTTAACTTCGATTCCACTTTTTATTTATGCAACTTAGAATTTCAAACTAGTTGACGGTCTACCTGGTGGAAAGTGGTAACCGTCACCTGTAGGCATGTACTCGTACAGTACCATAGACAACAGGGTATACTGTAACATATAATTATCATTTTATGTATCATAATTATTAATCTATATAAGTATAATAATTTCTTGTTCAAATTATAATAACACTTAACGATCAATGTCACTCTAATAATACGACAAACTTTGACAAATGATTCTGAGGTAATTGTGACGAGAAAGCGCTTTCCAACATAACAAATTTGTGTTCCTATTCATTGTTGACTTATATGGATTATAACTAATTATCTATCTAATTTTACACTTATAATTTCCTGTAGGTGTCGTAAGAGGCGAGTAAAGGAACATAATGGTAGAGGAATGGGTAGCAAGCCTAACTGCGGTTGCCAATCCGCCTGTCAAGCATGACAATAACGGGCAAAACGGGTGAAATGATGAAGTATAATATGTAGTAAACTCAAGAACAGTCATACACATTCACATACACGAATGTGGGCAGGAGCGCCACAGTACCAACTCCTTCCGTTAGACCGCATTCAAAGTCGGGCAGCTCGAATTGTTGACGATCGGCGTCTTACTGTCCGGCTCGACCCACTGAGGCTGCGTAGAGATGTTGCATCTCTGTGCATCTTCTACCGAATTTATCATGGGGAGTGCTCTGAAGAATTGTTCGGATTGATACCTGCTGCAGATTTTCACCATCGTACAACCCGCCATAAACTAAAATTTCATCCCAACCATCTGGACGAGTGGCGGTCCTCCACCGTGCGTTTTTCAAGGCACTTTCTCCCACGCACAACCACTCTTTGGAATCAACTTCCAGCAGCAGTATTTCCGAACCGATACGACAACATAACCTTCAAGAAAAGAGCATATTCCTTTTTAAAAGGCCGGCAGCACACCTGTAATGCCGTAGGTGTTGTGGGTGACCATGGGCGGCGGTAGTCACTTACCATCAGGTGAGCCGCATGCTCGTTTGCCCCCTGTGTTGTAAAAAAAAAAAAAAAAACACGACCAACGACATCATATAAGAGTAGGTCTTATATATATAAGTAAGAGTATGGTGACACTGTGTAATTAGGGTTTTGGTTAGTTATTAGAGATTTTTCTTTAAAAGTTTTTATTTATTTCTTTTTTTTAATAAAGAATTAGAAGTTTTATTTTCTTAAATTTTGTTTTTAATTTTAATTTATTTTTATATTGTTTACATCTGACCTTTGTTAATGACAACGTTGCTGTAATTTTTAATGGTATTATTTATTTTTTTGTTTCTTTCAATTACATTTATAATAATAGCAACTAAAGTTTACAATTAAATTATTGTTTAAGGATGTATATAAATTTTGTGTGTAAAAAGTGTTAAATAAATTTAAAAAAATATATACATATATATAAATTTTGTTATACTGTTTCTTTATCTTAAACAAACAACAAATATCCTATGACATGACGTCACATAGACTTCAGCGTGTGATGTCACCTGTGCTTTTGTCTTTGACCATTAAATCTCGCTGGTCAGTTTTTACCGCACCGAATAAGTTTGTTTATCCGCTGTAATCTCAGCTTCCGGTGGCGTTATAGTAATTTCTAGATGCGGTTGTCACGGTTACGTAGACGGATTGGGGATCGGTTTCTCGGTTTCCGTTCTGTTTTGACCATAGATTGTGGGGATTACTTTCAGTATTATACTTTATCTATATATCGTTATATGTGAAAAAATATGAAAAAAATATTTGAGATTTCAACTACGGTCCTAGTGACAAGTTAAATAGCTCAAAAAATGTTATTTCTTAGTTGTTCTAGGTTTCCGACTTAGATTATATAGATAGAGTGCCGCCGTACAAATGTTCTGAGAAAAGCGGGTCAATTTTTTCATACAATTTTGCGTGATAAATAGTTGAGTGATTCCATTATAACTTCTATATTTATTTTGTTTTATAATTTTTGCATCTTTTAATGCGTAAAAAACTCATTTTATTTACTAAATAATTATATATAAATATTGGTTTTAATGTTGCAATATATGCGTATTTGGCAATTAGCTGACAATAAGTTGACCTAGTTTTAAGACTCGAGATTCTATCTATATAGGTATAATCTAAGGCTTCAGACTTTTGGCCTGGTATTATAGGTATTTATTTATTTATCTTTTTATTTATTTATTAGTACAAATACGTGTAAATGGCGGACTTAATGCTAAAAGCATTCTCTCCCAGTCAACCACAGGGAAGTGTCAGAATGCGGTAATTATTTATTTATTTATTTATCAGTAATTATTTATATAAATACATACTAAAATTACATATATAAACGAATAAATAGATATTAATAACAAATATACTTACATATATGACATATACTATATTATATTATACACGAAATTGAGAATAATATAAAACACTTACTGCTCGGATAAAGTAAAAAAGGCATGGTTTTAAGAAGCGCGGAATTGTTAGTGACTTTTTTTGCATATTTTCTTATCAGAATATAACTCTTTACTATTATAAAAAAAAGTAATATCTGTTATAAACCGGAAATCAAAAGAGTTCATTAATATCCCATCCTTGCAATTGGATAACCAACTATCCTTATTTCAGAGATACTTCACCGGGGCGATTTATCATCGTCAATGGAATCTCTAGCGTATGATTCATCAGTGGCGTCACCAGGCAGCGTGTCCAGTCATACACAGAGGACCAAACGTATGCGTACCAGCTTCAAGCACCATCAGCTCAGAACCATGAAGTCCTACTTCGCCATCAATCAGAACCCGGACGCCAAGGATCTCAAACAACTGGCTCAAAAAACGGGTCTCTCCAAACGCGTGTTGCAGGTCGGTTTGGTGTACTTATTCATTTAAACTTTTTTGAACTATATAATGTGGTGGAAAAGGCTAACTTCATATATTTATATTTATTTATACATACATACATACATACATATCTGTCACGCCTGTCTCCGATTATGGTAGGCAGAAACAATGGAATGCCAAATGCTTCGATTCAAACAAACCTCTTTCGCTTCTTCCACATTCATCAATATTTATTTATCTATATTATAATAAAAGGTTTACTTTTAATGTTGCTTAAGGGACAATTTTTTTAATTTAAGTAAGTAGATTTTAATAGTAACAATAATTATATATTATTCATAGACAAAACTCTGTAAATAAATGATATCCTAGTTTAAATTTTTTTATTTTATTTCATGTATATAATGTATTGTATTATTTTATATATATTTGTATGTTATGTGTAATGTATTTAAACTTCGTTATAATTCGTTAATATAATATCATTTATGTTATCTACACTAATATTATAAAGAGGAAAGATTTGTATTTTTGTGTGTATGTATGTTTGTAATGAATAAACTCATAAACTACTTCGCCGATTTCAAAAATTCTTTCACCATTAGAACATAGGCTATATTTATTGCTAGAAAAGATTAGGGGTCCTTACTAAAAGTTTAGTAACGTAACTCAAGGTGTAAAAAAATGCTATAAAATATCTTTCGTCGCGTGCGCTGCGGAAACTATTGGTGATAGAACAAAAGTATGTTCTACAATATTGAAGAAAATATCAATAACTATAAAAAAACTTTGCGATACTATATGCCCAACTATTATCGTTACGTCACAATAACCACTTTTTAAAATGTTGTAAAAATGTCCACCCGTGCGAAGTCGAGACGGGTCGCTAGTTTAATATAAACTTATATCTATAATTGTAGGACTTTATGTCAATATTGCGGTTTATATTAGAAACCTGTGGCAATGCGGCAAAAAGTGACTTTTTTTTTGTAAAAAATAATATTAAATATATCTAAAAGAAATAATAATTTAATAATAGGATTTCCCATACCGGGAATCGAACCCGAGCCTCCTGGGTGAAAGCCAGGTATCCTAGCCACTAGACCATATGGGACTTGTTGAGCATTCTATAAAATTAGTACTTATTAAAGGTCATTGTAATATTTATAATGACAAATGCTATTATATTGGACTTTGTATGGGTGCTGAGGAATTCGCAAGCAAGACTTTTTACATGTTACATTATGTATAATATTACATTATATATAATAATAAAATGTGATTAGTTTATGACTGATAATTGTTTCTAGGTGTGGTTCCAAAACGCTCGCGCGAAATGGCGAAGGAACATTATGCGGCAGGAATCCAACAGCAACCCTGGTCATTCTGGTAACGGCTCCATCCTACCAGGTTCTGTGCCACCCAACGTGGTCCCCACGACGATGTTGATGGAGCAACACCAGCCCATCGAAGACATGAGGGTACACACTCCACTCCCGCATCCGATGGGCTTCAATGAAATGTACTGACAAACAAACGACGAGGAACAATGCAGTCCTCAATAATTAATCACGGAGCTCATGAAATCGAAGGTTATTGCAGAGTTCGTATTTTGATGGTCGGTGGTGGTAATGAGTGTCAGATTTTTTATGCAACATGGAAATATTAAATGCCCAGGAATCTTGACACATTGAACATCGTTTCGAACGATGCTGCTTTTAACACTCCAGGTTTTAAAGTCATTTTACCCGAATATTGGAGTCAATTCGGAGGCGCTTATTCTCCCAACCTATCTCTTAACCTATTGTTTTATAAAATTACTGTTATGTACTATGCTATACTAATAACTTTGGCTTAAATGTATTAGACATTGAGTTCATATTGATATTTAGAATAAAGACATCGCTGTGTTATCCAATTTTATTATTAAACTATTTATTAATTAATTTTACAATATGAATATAAATAATTATAAATTACAGAATATATTAAATAACTATATAATACTAATAACAATTACGATATGAATAGATACACACCAATACTTAAATAATGAATAATAATAATAAGAAAATACGTACCTATCGTGATACAATTTCAATGACTAGATAATATTGTAACAGATCCTTAGACTATTTCGAAAGTGAAAAAAGTGTTGTGTGTGTGTGTCCTCCTCTCTCCTACTTGCTATGCCCAACAGGGTCCATAATTGAAATGTTATGTACTAATTATATTATGGAATGCAATAAGAAATAAATAAATAAAACAATTGAAATTTTAATTTTGAAGATAGGTGACGCCTCAGAATCGTCTCCAATGAGTTTTATTAAAAAAATATGTAAATTAATAGCGTTCATAGCGATGTATTGCAATGTGGCAATTACTTGTCTATTAAAAAAAAAAACAATTGAACATTTTTCAATGTTTTTCTTGAGTATTTAAAAAGTGCTTTGTGTTGAGGTAAAACATGAATTACGCAATATAATGCTGTCTCTGTAAACTCGAATTTTGCTGTCAAATATATTTGAAAAATTCCGAGCAAAATAAGAAATAAGTGTACAGTTTCTAATAGTAAATTTTCATGTAATATATTATATGTTTAATATTTAAATTTTATTAGTAAAACACTTTTTAAATAATCAGCCGGAAACATTGAACATTTTTAAATTGCTTTTGAAAAATAGCAATAACTGCAATATTGCCATGATAATATAAGTAAAGACGGTATTAGAAGCAATAGTTATGAACGTTATTAATATAATGGGACTTTATTAAATATATCACTATATTATGTAAATATTAGATGTACGTAATACAAGAGTAGGATACATACTGGAAGGAAACATTACTATCAAACATTCTACATTCCACAGATATTTAAGTATTTTGTAAATAAAGTGATACTAGTCCATTTTAATGTAAGAAAAAAAAATATAGATCGTAGTGAATAAATATTAACCTATTTACTTACATTCTAGAATATACGATACTGTAAACAATTAAGTCCAAGCGAAAGTAATTATGCAACACAAAACATGACCCAATAAATACGTAATTACTCATATAAACTAGCTATATAGATTACGCTTATAAAAACTTAGGTCAAAGCCAGTTAAGATACAAACTATATTAAATCCAAGATATGATTCTTTTGTTTTTTTTTTTTTTATACCGCAAAGGTAGCAAAGTCAACTGCTCCTCTAATAGTAAACGGTCGTTATCTATGAACTATAGTCGCCTGCAGAACTAGGGGTGTCACGTGTGCTGCTGACTCATAAAGTCTTAATAGATCCTTCTTGAAGAATCTAATACTGTAATCTATAGAGAAAACCTCAGTAGGAAGATCATTTCACAGCCTAAGCCTTCGCGGGAGGAAACTCTTCTGAAACCGCACTGTACGTGACCATTTAAATTCTAATTTCATTCATTTCCGTTCAGTCATCGATATATATTTATAAACTTGAAAACAAATTTACAAACATTCCCGTTTGTAATATAAGTTGTATTAGGTAGTAATCGATTTGATTTGCCTTGGGAATGATACTCGCTAATAATATGAATTACACTGTATTTCGTCTTGTTATATCTAGGGTTGCCATTCGTCCGTGCGTTCCCGGATTTGGCCTAGTTTAGAGGGCATCCGGGGACCGTCCGTGCGGGGCTAGTCCCCGGGTTTAAAATTTAAAGTAAAAAAAGTAAAAATAAATAAAAAGATGATTTATGATATTTTCAACTGTTTCTTTATTACACTATGTTTAAAAAACCTGTTTATATCTCCGAGTTCTGGGCTCTAAAATCCTAGGTCTGCACGCGTCTTGTCGTGGTTGCCAAATTTTAGTGGTGACAACCCTGGTTATATTTAACCTCTTTACACTTTACTAATCAGGGCGGGGGTGGCGCCCTCTATTGTAAAGACTTTCTAGGCCACCGCTGTTGTAAACGACGCCCACAGACGTGTGTTGTAGTAGTTGCACATTGTATAATTATTATAAGAATTACTATGCAATTTAGATATTTACTTTAAAATAACGAAATTTTATAAGTGAGACATATGTAGGTAACGTGTTACTAATACGTAATAATATAATGAACTATCGTAATAACATAATAAATAAATATCTTTATAATTTTTAGTACATATGTTACATTAGTTATCTTTTAAGTATGTTTTGAACTGATTTCGATGATTCCCTTTTAATAATTTCATCAAAATTTTATCTTCTTCTTTTTTTACATTATAATATGTATTTTTTAAATAAATCCGTATGTTTATTTACAATTATAAATTTTCCGAACATTTTACTACCTGCTTAATAAGAATAGTCCTAATTGAAAAGAGCGTCCTTTAGTGTCGAGTGTATCCGGGCTACCTTCCTTTTATACAACTTACCGCTTTATTATATACATAAAACCCCTTCTTACAGCACGCCAAGAAGGTTGTTTAGAATATCTTGACACCAGAGATCGCTATCTGACCCAATTAGTACTTAAATATGATAAATTATTATTCGATTATAAATATAGTCTATTTCAATAGAACTTAATGAAAATGTAAACAAACGAACATTCGATTCGACCCGATCATAAAACTGTTAATGTCCAATAAATTGAACTGAAATAAATTGAAATTCTTGGATTTGTATTAATTTTATTTAGTGATTATTTTATGTGAAGATTTTAGCAAACTTGGTTACATTTTCATTAAGTTAAATTGAAATAAACTCTATTAGTATCTTTCTACAATTCAAAGTTGTCTGCACTGTAATTTATAAATCACTGTATCCCTGAAACGTGCCAAATATATTAATCTATTACAAATTAAAACATTGTAAATGGTTTCCATTAATATAAATTTTCTTCTCTGAATAACTTTATTTCTTAAATACAAAAACGAAAAGTACCCCTCGAAGAAATTTATACAATAAAATATACCACTGTTAGTTTACGTATAGAGATAAATACATACATCAGTTTTTAAAATACACGTTTAGGAATACAACTGTGAAATTCGCGTCCAGTTTTGTGCAGTAGATTTTACAACATATCGGAAAACATACAATAAAAAAAGCAAAAAAAAAAAAATTATAAACAGACAGACAGTTTCGATTTCCATAAATATGTTTTGTCTTCTATAGCTCTTATTAAGACCCCTCATTAATATTTATTTTTAAATAACTCCCGTGTACAGACATTGTCTAATTACAATTTGATTGAGTATATATGTATAGAATGATTGATTAACTAAAATACTAAAGTCATTACAAATATTAATTTAACGCCAAGAATATGTATATTTATACTCATATTTAGAAACTACAGTTTCTTACAATTAAACTTAGTGTTAATAAAGTTCATCATCATCACACCAGTTCTGTTCTGTTCACTGCTGAACATAAGTCACTCCCACTGACTGCCAAAAAACATCCTCGAGTCATTGACTCTCTTTAATGCGTTTGTCGTTATCGCTCCATCTAGTGGAGGTCGTCCTACTGCAATAATAAAGTTACATGACATAAAAGTGGAAAAGCTAAACGTAAACGTCAGTCTTTTAAAATTCACACGCAGCCAGTATGATAAAAATAATGATATCATGACTCCATGTAATATAGGTAGTCAGTAGATACTAAACTTCGATAAGTTCAAATATTGTAAATAATCATAATTAATTATCAATACATTTACAATACTTACTATACATTATAAAATTTGAATTAATCAATATGTACAGTTATTTTACTTAGTAGGATTGTATATTAGACATTTTAATCTAATTACTACCTCCCCATAGATCTATAAAATAAATTAATCCGGAACTTAATTTAAACATTAAAATCAAACTACCAGTTCTTTTCAAAAAGATATTAACAAAATGGTGTAAGAGATGTTAAAGAAACTTTCTTAAAAACTGTATGATTCGATATTTAAATTTTAACTTATTCTGTTTCGCTTTTTAAATTTTACAAACATTCTGCAGGTACCAGAGATATTGGACAAGTCCAACATCTCTGGTACTGTCCTTGATCTATGTCTTGAATAGAATATCTTTTTTCAAATACTTGGTTGGTGGTTAAACATTATTTTTTGTTTTCTTTATCAAAGTTACATGACGCGGCAAACATCTGATATTTCGAAATATCAGCTAATGACACACTGAGTGATATATATGATTTAATACATCTTCCTTATTAGTGAGATTTATTAGTAATATTAATCAATTATAAATAAAATACCTGTTAGTATAAGGTAGTGTTTAATCCAGGACGTATAAAACCTCGGGACTGTTCATCAATTAAGAAGTAAAAATTGCAACAAGATTACCAAACATTAATACAATTTCTTTACATTATATTACCGCGTATTACCTTTTTTTATGTTAAAATGTAAATTCTGAATGGCTTATTTAAACATTTTAAAATTTAACACGTGATTCAATATTAAGGAGAAGAACAAAAGCATTTTTCTTCTTCGTAATAGCATCCATTGATTTGCCTCTTTCTGCATTTACTTTGCCACATGAAGTCTAGAGGTTTTATACATATATTTAGTTTATAGATTAGTTATGTAGTACTTACATAGTACATATTTATACAATGAAATGATTTAATATATTGAAATTATACTACCTGTGGTTTTTTAATTAATTATACAATTTCTTCTACACTTCCTATTTATTTATTTTACTGTATCATTTTCAATTAATATTCCTTATTTATAGTAATTCATCGGGATTACTTTTTTTTAAAGGTGAAGATGGAATGGTAATCCCGCCTGCGCTATCGGTATACGCTGACGGGGCACCAGTGAAGGGTGACAGGTAAGGATGATGGCAGGTCAGTCGGCCCATAGTGACCAATTGAACAAGAATTAACCAATATGGTTTCCAGGGGGAATCGCGTGGAGGTCGACCTGGTAGGGTGTATTGCTAGCAACGAAGTTGTTAAATCTCTACTAACAATCTCTTTCCCTCCATCTGAAATTCTGATCAATTATAACTATCTCAGAGATTGATGTACTAATTTTTTTTATATTGTTTGCGAATATGTACCTAATATTCTAGGATATGAGTACATATACTACGTCTATGCTCAGTAAGTAGCAAAGAAGCAATCGGCAGCTACTGTCCTTTATCTATGCTACAAAGAATACGCGGTGA